ATGAGTCACAGCTGACTCAATGGTGACTTGTCTTAGAGTACATTTATGTCATTGTGCTGTTGCCCTTACTTGGAGAAAGATGAAGCTGTCTGCTCTTCTGAATGCTTCTACTTCTATAGAATAGCCATGGGTTGGAAATAGACTCAATGGCAGGGAGATGATGAAGATGAATGTCATTCTGTCTGTTTCTTGATCTACTGTAAAGTTAGATAACTAACAGGTTAAGCATAAGCTAGCATTCAACTTTGATATCTTCTCTGTCCTGATTTCTAAACTCATTTCAGTTTTCAGACCTGCTTATTTCATTGGACTTTTCGTTACAAAGGACTAGCAAAACCAGTAATGGATTTTATTTCTTTATAGCTTCCAACCCTTATCTACATGTAAATGTGCATGTACATATCCTTGATATCCCCCCCCCCCACTTATTCCACTTTTAAAATATAGATGAACCCCTCCAGTTAAGAGCTGTCTTTTTTGGTATCTGGGGATAAGTGACAAAAATTAATCACTTTTTGATGTGGCCATGAATCTTTGAGTTTCATGAGTGGCTTTTCTGAGCACTATGAATATATTTTGTTTAAAATGTTAAAATACCTAAATAACTCTGTATTTCTTTTTGAAAGAGTGCTTATCAAAATGATAATATCCATGCTTAAACTATTAAATTATATGTTATGTGAATTACAAGTCACTAAAACTTAAAATTTACAAAAAAAGGAGTGCAGAGTGGGGACTCAAAGCCCATCTGTAGGCAACTGGACATCCCCTTACAGAAGGGTCGCGGGGAGGAGACGAGCCAGTCAGGGTGCAGTGTAGCAGCAATGAAATATACAACTTTCTAGTTCTTAAGTGCTTCCCTTCCTGCCTCTATCATGATCCCAATTCTGCCTTACAAATCCAGCTAGACCAGAGGATGTACACTGGTACAGATAGGAACTGGAAGCACAGGGAATCCAGGACAGATGAACCCTTCAGGACTAGTGGTGAGAGTGGCGATACTGGGAGGTTAGAGGGAAAGTGTGGTCGAAAGAAGGAACTGATTACAAGGATCTACATATAGCCCCTCCCTGGGGGAAAGACAACAGAGAAGTGGGTTAAGGACACGTCGGACAGTGTAAGACATAATAATAATTTATTAATTATCAAGGGTTCATGAAGGAGGGGGCGTAGGGAGGGAGGGGGAAAATGAGCTGATACCAAGGACTCAACTAGAAAGCAAATGTTTTGAGAATGATGAGGGCAATATTTTCCAAAGTATAATCTTAAACTTTTTGCTTACTCATCACATTGTTATTAGGATGTGATTTTGTTTGGAAAAAGACATCTGTGACACTTTTCTGATAAGTGTTGATGCCTCATAAGTTCAAATAGATTTTGGCAAAAGGTTTTGAAAACTAGAAAAATCTCACTTTTTTTTTACAGTTTTCCAGGTTTTTTTAAAAAAAGTCTTTGACATGTTTTTTCCTATGTGATAATAGACTTCTTCACCTCGTTTTGTGATTCTAGATTGTGTTCTTCTCTATAAAATAGTTGTGTTATTTTCTATCAATTCTACATAAGAAATTGTACTTGTTGCTATATTCCAGCTGTTTATTCCTTTGCCACCTGAATCTTAGCTTCCACCTTGGTTTCTAAACTTGACCTTCCTTAGTTTCTTTTAGTTTCCTCACTTAATGTAAATGGATCTTATCTTGCTTGACTCCTGTTTATTTCCTCTTCCTTCATGAAAGTCTTCCACTGGCTTTAGTGCCACTAACTCTTTCTTGGGTTTCTTTACTCTATTTATTTCATTCTAATTAGTACAGTCATTTCCCTTGGCTCAGTTTGTCCTTGAAACCGTGGTATGTTTATAGTATTCTATTCATGGATTTTTTCCCACTTAGTTCTTCTCCCTAGGGATTTTTACTCAAGCTTATGTTTTATCTATCACCTTTAAATGCTATTTCATGGGTCTGGTTCCACTCCTTCTTCTAACCTTTGCCCTTCAGATGCTGTTGCTTACTAGAAATTTTCATATATGTTTCCACGGGAATACTCAGTCAACACATCTAAAAGTGAATTCATCTTCCCCTCAAAACCCGCTTTTTGTTCCTGCTTCAATTGATGGTCTCTTTGCTCACCTGGACACCCAACCCCCCAAATTCTAGGTACATCCCCAAATCATCTTTCTTCACATTATCTAGTTAGTCCCCTATATTGTGCCTATTGATAGATCCTGATGTTTTTTGAGCTACTTTTGTTTTAAAGATCATTTTTATTGGGGGCTCTTACAGCTCTTATAACAAGCCATACATCAATTCTATTAAGCATATTTGTATATTTGTTGCCATCATTATTTTCTAAACGTTTACTTTCTATTTGAGCCCTTGCTATCAGCTCCTCTTTCCCCAACCCCCTCCCACCCTCATGACATCTTGATAAATTATTAAATTTTTATGTCTGAGTGCTATCTCCCTTCCCCATGGTTTCTGTTGTTTGTCTTTCTGGGGGTTGGGGGTTGGGGATGGTTATATGTCGATCATTGTGGTCGAATGGGTTCCCCCTTATTCATGTTTCTTGACTTTGACCCATTCTTTTTCTCTGTATTCCCATTTTCTTCTAGCTATCTTTATTTCACTTTTATATTCCTCCTAACTTATCTTGCTATCTTCTGACTGCTGTATGATCTATGGTGCATTTGCATCTTAAGAGATTTTTCTGAAACACACTGATCATATTATTTTCTTGGTTAGAACCTCCAATAGGAATTTATTGACATTTTACTACTTACCTAGGCAACATGTTAATCCATTTCCCTTATTTCTTTTAATTCTTACAACTACTCTATGAGAAGGGTACTATTTTTATTCCATTTTATGTTTAAAAATAGACTCATGACAAAGGAGATTGATTGACTCTTGTGGAGATCATGCACGCGGGAAGTAGGAAAATCAGAATTTTTCATTATACCAAGCTATCCCTGTTTACAGACAGTGTTGCAGTATAGAAGATAACCTCCTGGAGTTGGAAAGAGAGTTTTTGTAGTGCTCCATATATTGTGTGTTTTAAATATTTCAGTTCTTCCTTCTGTATGATATAATGTATGTTATATATGAACAATCAGAAAGCTCCTTAAAGCAATAATGGTGAGACTTCAGCTCAGTTAGTTTGGAAACATTATCAGGAAAGACCAATTGGTAGAAAATATCATGGTTGGTCAAAGAGAGCCATTGAAACGGGGGAGTAACACAATAGTGGAAACAGTGAACTCCAACGTGCCTAGTGACCATGAAGTTGACACAGGGCCAGACAGTGTTCAGTGAACCACAGGGTCGTTCATTATGTGTTGGGATCAACTCAGTGTTATATACAGCTGTGTGTACATGTGTGTTTGTCTGTATTTTTATTTGATATCTCCAGGCAACTGTGTGTGACATGTAGAGTATGAAGCATAAATAAGAGGGGCTTAAAAAAGTTTATGGAAAATGGAAGTAGAAGGTAATAGAATGAACTTTTTTTTTTTTTCTTGCATTAACCTGAGTATATGATAGAACTTTGAGCCCTTGTGCTGTATCTTGTTTCGTTTTCCTGAAATAACCCTCAGTTCTACTTCTTTTGCTTGGTAAACTTTATTTTTTATTTTTAACTCTATGGTGTGATTTAGGTGAATGATTATTGTACACATTAGTTTTCCATTCAACAACTCAATTTGATTAGTGGTGTTGATTCCAATCCTCACGATGTAACAGTATTCTTCCCACTTCTCATTGCTAGTCACCAAGGGACCATGTAGCTTGTGGACAGGGCTATGCCAGTTGACATGCAGATCCATCAAGATGACATGACCCAGGCCCAGTGACTCCCTTTTTAAAAGGTGTTTGTTTATGGCTAAGAACTTTTTGTCACCTTGTCCCTATATGCTCTATTCGATACATGAATACATTGGGAGCATGGATGAACTTTTTTATTCCTTCTTTAAATCTGAGTTCACAATTGTTTCTACTTCAGTTTTTCACCAGGCCAGAGTGAATCAGTCTCTCCTTTGTACTATCTCTGTGGAATGTGTGAGTATCTGTCAGTGCTGTTATCATGCTATTAATATACCTGTAGATCTTCCATTTTAAGCTGTGCAGTTTTGAACATTTTAATATTCCTGATGTTGAGATATGTCTTATGAATGGTTTATAAATTTGATTCGATAGTATTTCCTTCTTCCTTTCCTCCCACCTCCTTTTTTCTTTTTAAGTACAATAGCCATTTAAAATTGATGGTACATGTTCCATTTGTTAACATCTTTGTCTGAAAGATTTAGTTTTTATGCCTTATTTCTATTCTTGTACCCCACCTACTTTGGGTATGGATTTTGTCCCATCAAATTCTGTAGTTGAAGAAGGTAGTATTGTGCTCCTTTTGGCAGCACGTATGCAGAAGAAGATAATTTTATAGTGCATCATAGACCCAATTGTTTCATGCTGATTTAAATACTAAGCCAATTCATATTGGTCTATGTCTCAGTTTCAGATAGTGGTCTCCGGAATTAGTAAGAATTAGCAAGTTTCGATTATCATGCAGTGTTAGACATTTGTCAGCATTACCTATTGGCTATAAGGAAAGCATATCATTGTGTGACCTTCCACACCTTTATGTAGATGGTGTAACATAGTTGGTTTCCTTTCTGTAATTACACCTGGAAGGAAATGTAGGAATGTGAAGACAGTTAAAAAAATAAAAAATGTGAAGGAGTTTTTTCTGAAGTAAATTGCACTAGAAAACAACACTTTACATATTAGTATCAAAACGGAATAATATTGGCTGGCACAATAATGTACATCTGTTTTGGTAGCACTGTATGAGACTTGAAAGAATAGCCCGCAAAATCAGAAGACTCTGTTGAGTGACAGTGTCAGTCAGTAGATCGTGTTCTCAGCACTAGGAAAGCGTCAGGGCCCTGTCCTATTAGGAAGTACATTCTCCTGTGACTAGAACAACCCTCTAGCTTGACATTGTTCTCTTTCAAGGGGCTGAGCGGGAAAAACCGGATCTGGAGAAGCAGATGTCAGATTTGAGAGTGCAGCTGAGTTTCAACGAAATGGCCTCTGAGTTAGAGGAAGTGAAGCGGAGCGTGGAGCGAAAAGACAAGGAGCGAGCGCGCCTGGCAGTGGAAGTCGAGGTGACTTTGCTTTTTTTAAACCACCTGTGTTAGGAGTTTAGTTTTGTTTCAGAGATTTGCCTAATGAAGTTTTAACAATTTCAAAGATTGTGTTTTTCTGTGAGTTCGTTCCATAAAGATAATATAAAATTGTATTTGATGATTCTCTTTATACATAGGAATTCCTGTAGATTTGTTTCTCAATCACTGGGGCACCAATGCAAAAACCCGGATTTTTTCCCCTCCATTATTTCACAATGAAATATTGAACTGCTAATGGCCTTAAAGATAGCCTTGTTCCAGTGACGTGTACAACGGCATCTCTACCCCCCGGCCCCATGCACGCTTTCTTTCTTTTGAACAGAAACAAGCTTTCTTCTTTGAGAAAACAGTGAATTTTCATGTATTTTAGGGGCAAAGCTGGTACAATTGTCGGTTTTCTTTCCTTTGGAGGCAAACATGGATTTAAAATTTCTTGTTGTTCTGTATGACGAAGCGTTTTGATGCCTCCATTCATTTAGAGTTGTGTACTAATTTTCAATGATGTGCTACTCATGAATAAAATATAACTAGGCAGCTATCATGTTCAGCTTGTCCCTTATCTAGGATAGATGGAGTAATTATCAGAAAATATGAAAAACAAAAGGAAGGACTTCAGCATAGGAGATGGCTTAGTTCCAATTATAATTATGCAAATTAGATGTCACATTTTGAAATAGACACACATTTATCCTCCTCTATTTTATTTATTAATTAAGCTGTGTTCTTATTGTATATAGATTATCATGTTTGAAAAATTTTCTAAATCTCATTGAAAGACAGAAAATTGGGATTAAAAGCACTTACCTCTTTACATACGCAAATTAGAATATTTTGTGCTTCGCTCCTGTCAGAGTTTTCTTTCATTTTATCAAAATGTCAATAAAAAAGTCTTCTAGGTTTGTTTCACGATTCAGATCATAAGGATAATGAAATATTGACATGGTCTCTACAGAGCCATTTACACGTTTAATAGATACCTATCATAAATATTCTCAGATATTGTATATCTTTTAAAGCGTGCTACATGGGTGTTATTTTAAACTTGGGTCCTTTGGTGAAAGTGTACCGTACAATTGTTTTGCTGAAGTTACTTTTTGTTATTTTTAAAGACCTCCTCTTCTAATGATCCAAGGTAAGACAAACCCTTTGCGCCCTGGTCATTACCGCATGTGGAGTCTCTCTCCTTCTCTGTCTTCATCTTTCATTCTTTCCCCCTACCTTTTCCCACTTGTGTAATAACTTGAAAAACAAACCTCAAATGTGTGAGCATTGAAAAGTTTATTTTGATAGCTCTTCAATCATTCAAGGAACCTGGCTTGATGTGGGTTAAGGGAGAGAGTTTGAGTTTTCTTGGGCTAGTTTAGACTGGGTAGACCGGCTTGAGAAATCAGTTGAAGCTGACCATTTCCTCAGATATCAAATGCATATTGTTGTATATTACATGCCACGCACTGTGCTAGGTGCTGGGGACATTATCAATGAACAGAGTTATAGACCTCCCTTTCCTAAGCATCTGGCATTCTAAAATTGATACAGCACTTGATACATGTTGTTTTAGTTTGTCACACTTCTCAGAACAAGTACCTTTTGGAGGATGAAAGATGTTTCCAGTTGCAATTGAAAAGGATGTCAGAAAGTGACATCCCTCATCTTTTGGATAAATTACCATTAGCCAGCTTTATTTTTACTGGTTTTCTTATTTTTAACAATGAAATCATTAATTACATTTCCATCAGTTGTCTTCGAGTTAGTAACAGTTTGGATTTTGCTCCTTTCTTCTTTGTAACTTGCAAAACGGAAGCCTTTGGAAAATCATGATCCCCAAGCTGTTTTCAAAGTGATGTCTTCCGCAGACTCTGACAAGTGCAGATTATGGATCTCTCAATTATATTCTGCCAAAGTTGGAAATTTTATTAAAATGTAATCGAATAGAGTGCATCCTCTGCCATACTTTAAATGCTGTGTGGTGCTAATGGCTGAATGTTATAGACTCTTAAACTGAAAGATTGGAGAGTCCAGCCACCTGGGGCACCTCGGAAGAAAGGCCTGGAGACTGCTTCTGCAAGGAAATTGCTTTGGAAACACTTGGGACACAGTTCTGTCTGCTATGCATCAGAGTGCTATGAATCAGAGTAGCCTCAACGTCAACTTGAATTTTTTTAAAAATTTAGGTAACATTAGGTGGTGTTGCCTTATACATTCTATGAAAAATAGATATTGATATCCCTTAGTTGCTTTTTGGAGATCCAAATAAGAATAGGAAAAGATGCACAAAGTGAGATTATTGGTCAGGCCTAAGAATGTGTGTCTAGTGACATTTCCCCCTGGGCTTTTTCAATCATTAGGGCCTTTCATTTTACTTAAGATGCTCTGATACATTTTCCACTCATATGCAGTCTTGCCAAACAATGAATTTTCCCTCCCTCCTTCCCCCTTTTTGTGGGTATGGAAATATCTAACCTTTTCTACCTTGGAGCCTTCTTGGATTTTATCAGCTATAAATAATCATATTTCCATTTAACCATTTATGTCACTAATGCAATTATGGAACCTCAAGTTCAGCATCTTTCAAGTTGAAAGAAAGGAGGAAAGGAATTCAGACCTCAAGTATCAATATTGAAGGATCATATGGGTAAAAGGTTGAATTATACAGAAGATGGAAAGAATACACAGAGTCACTGTACTAAAAAGAAGTGGGTGATGTTAAGCCATTTCAAGACGTAGCATATAATCAAGAACCAATGGTACGGAAGGAAGAAATCCAAGGTGTACTCAAGGGATTGATGAAAAAGAAAGTATTAGGAGAAAGCTGTCTGACCAACTAACTGGAAGAGATTCCTATTTGTGCCCCTTCCAAAGAAAGGTGACCAAACACAATGCAGAAATTATTGAACAATATCATTAACATCATGTGCAAATACAATTTTGCTGGTAGGAACTTAAAAATGGATGCAGCAATACATTAACAGAAAGCTGCCAGAAATTCAAGCTGGACTCAGAAGATGATGTGGTATAAGGGATATCTTGCTGATGTCAGATGCATCTTGGCTGAAAGCAGAGAATATAGAAAAGTATTTGTGTGGATCGTAAAATATCATGATCCACAGTGTGAAGAATGGGAATTCTAAAACACTAAATACATTCATGTAGAATTTGTACATAGCCTAAAGGCAGTTATTTGAATTATACAATGGAATACTGCATGGCTTAAAATTAGGAAAGGTGTGTTTGTATACTGAGTAAATAATTTGAAAAGTTGTACTACATGAAGAAGAATATCCATCAAGATCGGAGGAAGGGTTACTGACAACTTGAATTATAGAGATGACACATCTTTGCTTGTTGAAAGCCAAGGGAACTTGAAAAACTTACTGAAAATCAGAGCATAGCCTTCAGCATGGATTGCAACGCAATATAAGGTAAACCCATATCCTCACAACTTGACCAGTTGATAACACCATTATAAATCTTGAAATGACTCAAGTTATCAAGGATTTCATTTTACTTGGATCCACCATAAATACTCATGAACACAATAGTAAAGAAATCAAATGATGTGTTTCTGGGCACATCTGCATAAGACATTTTTAAAGTGTTGAAGTTGACACAGTGGCTGCAACAACGGGCTCAAGCATAGGAACAATTGTGATGATGCTGCAGGACAGGGCAGCGTTTTGTTTCATTCTGTTGTACGTAGGGTTGATATGGCTTGGAACCAGTTTGATAGCGCCTCAAAAGAAACAAGGACAGCAACCAAGTGTTGTGAATGACATGGATGTCATTTTGACGTCTAAGACATGTCTGACCCAAGTCATGGTCTGAACAAGGAAGACTCAAGAAGGATTTTGGTGTTGCCAAAGAATATCGAAAATGCCATGGGCTGCTGGAAGAACTAATGAAACTCCCTTGAAAGCAGTAAAGCCAGAATGCTCCTTAGAAGGGGATAAGATGTCATCCTTTGTACTTTGGACATGCTAGCAGGAGATAGATACTGGTCCTTGGAAAAGGACATCTTGCTTGGTAAAGTAGAGGAAGTCCCTCACTGAGATGGATTGCCAGTGGTTGCAACAAGGGGCTCAAATAGAACAATCGTGGGATGGTGCAGGGCTGGCCAGTGTACCTTCTGTTTCCCATAAGGACACTATGAGTCAGAATGGACTCAGAGACACCTAACTGTAACAGTAACAGCATTGTGGAATCTTATTAACACTGTTTTACTTTATGTTGCATTCCTTTAACATTTCAAAACTCAATACACAGTCCAAGCAGGAAGACGACCCGCCACTAAAACAGCTTAAACAGCTTCTCTTTGATATCCTTAATGGGAAGAAGTTGTCATGTTTTGAGGTTTTGTCTTCACATCAGGAAATTTGAATTTTCTGTATCCTAGAGTTCATATGACCCAGAAGACTGGTTCAAGTTAACAGTGAAATCCACAAGAGAGCAGTGTCGCGAAAGTGCAGGGTCATTGATTTCTACTCGAGGAGCTCTGTGCAGATATTACAATACTGTTCTCCTGTGAAGGTTGAGGACCTCTCCACCTAGATACTTAGAAAGCTGACACAGGAACGAAAGCCTTGCTTGGTTAACACAGAATCAGACAGTAATAATTCTCTCTCCCCTTTAAGGGTTAACACAGAGTCAGAATAACAATGTTCTCTCCCCTTTTAACAGTCATCTGACACCCAGAGATCCTCTTTATTTCAGACAGATTCTCTGTGTTTTTTCCTGGGAATTGTTGAACTCAGACATCTCTTTTTCCAAATCTTCTCCTTTGCTTCCACCATGGGCTCAGATGTTCCCTTTACAGTGTCCTTTGCTAGGTTGCTGTGCACAGAGTTTGCTCTTGGCCATTTCCCAATGGGAATTGATGTTATCTAAACATATGGCATTCTGGGAGCTGTTTAAGAACTCACGTCAAGTTTTTTAATCCCTTTACATGAGTCTGGTGGTGCTTTAGGATAAGCACTACCCTGCTT